CTTACCAATGCTGCAAAGTGGTCTTCAAAATGATGGCAGCTTAAAATTCTTGACCCTGTTACAATGGCATGATGGGAATGTTACATAATTTACTGATTCAACCACTATATAGGTAAGTAAACTGGATGATATTTAGGTGGTTATTTACCATATATTTGGTGGCATTCTAATTGTATTATTGCAGCCTAAGCATATTGAAGCAGACTTAACTAGCCAGTATGTGCAACAGCCTAGAGGCCAACCACTGTGGGAATTATAATGGCAGCATGGCAGCCTGAAGCTACTATTATATAATGCTACTATATTAATTCACCAAATGTTATTTCCTTTTCCTACCCCCCATTGTGGCATTTATATATTCTATTGTAGTGTCACCCCAGCTTATTTGCTTATCCACTACCACTTAGGGTGCTCCTTGTATAGCATAAATTAAAAATCAAGATGGCTTCCTGATTACTAACCTTACATACATGTCCCCCTATGAAAAATAATTTGGTCCTGTGGGTGGGTCCAATCTAGATCAGCTGTCAGGATCCCATTTAGAGACTATCATAATACCATCAGCTTGGAATTAGTGACCCTGCTAACAATCTTATGACAGGTTCATGATGGTGTTTTGCTAATTTTACAGCCAAATAAAGGGATAAAACTTGTTGATACTTTATTGGTGCTGTGACAATAGTTGCATGGTATTGTTGCGGTCTTTCAGCGCTCTATACTATTTTAAGTAGATCCAGTTGGCCAGGACATCCAATTACCTTATATTACAAGAAACTTGACGGCATTTTGATGGCCTCATAGCAAGTCTATGATGGCATTATATTGGCAGTATGATGGCCTACCTCTGGTTCTGTATAATGCTACCATACCAATTTATCAAATGGTATTTCCTTTCTCTACCTCTGCTTGTGCAATTCATATATTCCACTATAGAATCACCCCACTTTATTAGCTTACCCACTACTACCGTGGGTATTCCACATATAGTTTGAATAAAAAAAAACCATGGCCTCCTGCTTACCAACCTCTACAAATGTGCACACCTGCCACAATTGACATACTTCTATCACCTCAACTTTAGAGCTTTTTAGTATGATACTTGCAAAGTTGCCATATACCTTGTACTGCTTATAACTTATACATTTTCAGACATATGCTTTGTTGTCACCATTTCTGCCATGAATACCTCCTGAATATCTGCAAAGAACTTCTTGGTATTTAGCCAATATATTCCTTCTCCCTGCTGCATTCTAGTCCCCCTTATAGGTGTGCTCTAGCTTTTGTTTCTGTGGATTCCATATTAAATGGTGTAGATGTTGGCTTGTGACCATGAGAAATCTGGCATTTCTTGGTAGAGTTTTCCTGATTAAAATTAGTTGCTTGTTGCACTCAACCCAACTTTGCATTACTTAACTGATTACCCATGCATTGGGGCTGCTTAGCTTCTTAATGCCATAGGCATAGGTGTCTCCATGTGCACATTTGTCCTCAGTATTTTCCAACTCTTTCTAGCTGTCCTCCATGTGCCAACTCATCACATCCATAACAGACTTGAAGTTAATATTCATGAAGAGATTGGGATATGGTAGTACCTGCAACTTGACTTGTCTTCCTATCTTCCCTTACATCTGCTCCATAGGAAACTCCCAAAAGGTGAAGCAAGGCCCAATATTCTCCACACACCATGCAACATGGAGTAGAGAATGGATACAGTAGCGGCAGAGATCTACTTGTTCAGCTTTATGTTTGTAGTATAGCAGCTCAAGTCCCAATACAAACTCCTCACACAACAGCTGTAGATGTATCAAGTTGGCATTGGTGATCTGCTTCTGGATAAATTTTCCTACAACATCCACATGTGATTCCCAATGCTTCCAATGTACTCTTGGTAGGGATGGTTTCAGAACACCTCTTGAATAAATACATATCCAGTTCATCCAGTCTTGGCATTTACATTGTTGCATATGCGTATGAATATTAATTGGAGCCCATGGGAAGTACCCGGGACAGTGGATACTGTGTAATATCTTGCCAATCCTTTCAAATTTTGCCGGTATCTCAAAGGGCTCAATTAGCTTGAAATGCCCCATGTAGAACTTGGTCATCAGTATAGGGATATTGTCAAAAAGCAAATGCATTGCTCCCAGTGGAAAGCTTCTGCTCCAACAGATACCCTCTATCTTAAGTGTCTCCGGTTTTCAGTTGATTCCATATTCCAGCCAGTGGCTTATAGCTTACCAACTTTGCTGCAATTGCACGCTTACTTCTGTACATTCTCTCTGTGATAGGATGATGTTCTTAGTGCTAGTGTTTGGGTAATAATAATGTGTGCAAGTTATGGATCCAACACATTTGACAGCAATACCTTTCCTTGTGCCCAGAAAACCTGTTATCTTGCTGATGGCTGGGGTATCTCCAATGCAGATAATAATATGTGCTTTTACATGACAGCCATTTATCATTATCCTGCTACAAAGCATACAAAATTTATCCAGCAATAGATACATGTACCTATCCAGGTTGGATGGTGATTTAGGCTCAGATACCAGTGAGACAATCATCATATTTTTGCTCTGATACTTCAAGGTGGGTGGCAGATTCAGATTGATGAGAATCAGTGGACAACAGAATTTGCCGGTAGAGTACATGTTTAATGAGAATTCATCAAGTGCTAAAGCAAAGGCATGGTCACACATACCTTCAAGGTAGCCCTTGCTTCTTAGCTGTATGTAGTGATTGCCATCAAATATATTGGATATGTTTGTGCTTGATTGATACTGAGTGCGGTGTAGTGGGGTGACAGTGACACCCACTGACAGATGCGCTCATTCCCATATTTTCTACTTAACTATATCTCTACTACACTTATTTTAGTTTTATCCCATTTGTCTTACCTGATCAGTACTATCCCATAAGCGGTGGACTATCACACCTGCTTACCTTATTGCATAAGTTATCCCTCACTTCATGTAGGATTACTAGCTATAAGTGCTTCTATATTAGGCAAGTACCTACACCAGTACACGTGACACATGATCAACATGTGTCACCATCCCTACCATTTCCATACCATATATGGTATCCCTATGTTACACAGGTTTCAGAATACTGATTCCTAATTGGTTGGATGTGCTGTGCCTCTTAGAACCTTCTGGCACCTACTTAGAACATTCTTGGGTCATTCTGATGTTATTGAGATTTCTATTGATATCCAGAACCTTTTGGAACACCATGATTAGTAATCACTTAGCCAGTAAGAAAAGTATATAAGGGAGGCTATCCCACAACAATAAATCATCATCCCTTTTATCAATATACCAACTTGTTGATTAGTGGGATCACTGCTACTTGCTGCTACCTGAACTTCCATCCCCAGACCACAGGACACTCCCAGGAAACCACACTGACAGCCAACTGACCTTGTTGGCACTACTTGTGAGGAATACTCAGAGTAGATATCTTTAATTATATTTGATTCTTTCCCAAGTTTGTTCTTGTACAGACAAAGATACTTTTCTGTCTTTGTAACTATTGACCACAGCTACATTCATATCAAGTCCCTGCTGGTGGAGCTTACAGTTGTTTTGACTTTGGAAGCTTTAGTACATTGTCATCTCAAAGGACATTGAACCCAGCACATACTTTTGTTAAGATGCCAGCCAAGTTGGGGATTGTAGCTCAATAATTTTCCCTCAACAAGCTGGTGGCTTTATTCCCCTTCACATTAGATTAGAGACAGAACCCAAGTATTTCTAGCAAGCTTTTGCCAGAGGTTATTGCACCCAGTGAACACCCCACACACAAAACACTTGAGAAGTGTTGGAAGTACCTCTTTCTTGGACCCATACACCACCACAGCAGTACTGTATAGCTTTTCAATATTTGTTGGACTGCATCAGCTTCCTCAGACAGGGTATGACCAGAATATGTCCAGAGTGTGAACAATATTTTCCCTCAATGGTGGTGAATTCCTGACAATTTGGACAAATTGCAATGGTAGCATTTTTGGATGTGAATGCTGTGCAAGTGTTAACACATGCTGCAATCAGGACAGTCTCTGGATCACATATTGCCAGCTGCATGATGGTTGTCCACTTGTACCATGTACATGGTAAGTTGCATCCCGGTATGACTTTGGCAAGAAGTAGTAATAAATCCTTAAAGCCCCCATTACTGCTATTAGTGGAAATGCACCACTTCTCTAGCCACAACATTACATCATTTACCAGTAGATGTTTACTTGGCTCACTTGGCTACATAAAGTATCTTGGGCATTTGTTTCAACATTTTTTGTCTCATTGCATATAGGGATTTGACCAGGCTCATACGTGGTACTGTTGTTAGGGGAGATAGGCTCAGAATCTATCAGTGAACCTTCTCCATCAGAGCTATCACTCTGAGTGCCATATTCAGAAGGCTGAGGTGTGCCTAAAGGCATCACAAGCTCACCTGACTCAGTTTGCACAAGGTAACAAAGATGGCCAGGTGCCAATATAGGAGTATCAACTGGCCAGCAAGATAATGCTGGTACAGTAGTGACCTATGAACAGTTAAATATGACTTGTGTGGCAAGCACTGGCCATCATCCTTGTAATACTTCCTATGCTGTCTGTATGCTTCATGGCTGAGAGGCTTGCCACAATAGCCACATAGTCTTTTTTCTCTTCTCTTACAGCATTGAATCAAAGTAGTCTAGTCCTAGGTTGGGGGGACAATAGTGGGGGGCAGAGGAGGCAATTGGGACGCACTTTCAAACAGAAAAAGGGGGGGTAACCGCCCAAAATACAAATTGTTACAAAAGGGGAAGTAAGCCCTTCTGGGCTTTGCTCCTTGGGCTGCACTAGAGTGGTGGAGGGAAACTGCAGGGGGATAGCCAACCAACCAAACCCTGGGGACAATTACAGCCCTTGGTGTGTTTGTCCCCCTTTCCCCCTACCAGCTGTCCGGTCCCCCCTTCCTTTATTCAAGGGTAGGTGATGGAATCTGGAATAGCATTGGAGGCACGTATAATTTAATGGTAGAATAGCAGTTTGTGGTACGGTAAGAATAGGTTCAAATCCCATTATTTGCCAAATACAGGGCAGGTCCCCATTTGCTTGGGGCCAATTAATGGCCCCCCATAGGGCAGTTTCCCCTTCCATTTTCCCCCCATCCTTTTCAACACGGGGGCCCTTTCTGTTTAAAGCCAGGGGGGCGCTGTGTGGGTTGATTACTGAGGCAGGCCAATTGGCTCCCTAGTCCAACCATCCAGGCAACCAACCACTGTAGGATCATCCTCCCCTTGGTAGCCCTTGGACAAGGGGGGCAAGTGGGAAAGAGAGCTGGGGGTTTGCTAGGTTTAGCAGGGGACTGTTAAAGACAAGCCAAGCCTGCACCTGGTGGGGGGAGGCAGGGGGAGGGGAAGGCCAGTGGGGGAGGCGCCCAAATTTTCTCAGCTCACTTAGCTCAATTGGATAGAGCAGGGCACTTCTAATGCTGCATTTTAGGTTTGAGTTCTTAAGTGAGTAATTAACTTAGGGGGGGGGCAAAGCACAACCCCCTGGCTTGATCTTCACAGTGGCTGTGTTTGAATCCAATTGGCTCCATTGTTGGCTTTGCTCTAAAGGGCTTTTCACTTAGGGTATAAAACCTAACTTTGCAGCTTTCTGGTGTGATATTTGCAAAGCAACCATATACTTGGAATTGATATTCACATGTACATTGCACAACCATATGCTTAATTGCTGCCACTTCTGCCATGGACACCTTTAGAATAACTGCAGGGTACTTTTTTGATCAAACCAATATATTCCTTCTCCTTGCTAGACTCTAGTCCCCATGAATGGTGCACTCTGACTCTTGCTTCCATGTTCTGTATTGAATGTTGTAGAAACTGGCTTGCACCAGGAGAAACCTAATATAATCTGCATACAACCCAAGCTTGCATCACTTTCTGGATTGCCTACATATTTGGGCTGTTTAGCCTTGTAATGCCAACAGCTTAGGTGTATCCAAGTGTCCATCCATCCACAATATACTCAGATTCTTTGCAGCCATCCTCCATGTATCAACTCATCACATCTATGATAGACCTGAAAGCAACATTCTTGAAGTGAATGGGAGTTGGTAGTATGGGCAACTTCATATTTTATCCCTTCTTATTTATCTACCTGATAAGAAACTCCCAAGATATGCAATAAGAGCTAACATTATCCACACTCCAAGAAAGATAGAGTAGAGAATGGATACAAGAGTAGCAAAGATCTAAGTGCTCACCTCTGTGCTTGTTGTATAGCTGCACCAATGCCAACATATAACCCTTGCAGAAAAGCTGCACATGTGCTAAATTAGCAATGATGATCTGATTCTGGATAGTTGTTCATAAGATGCCAGCACAGGACTACTGATGCATTCAATAAACTCTGGGTTCAAGTTGCTTCACACTGCCACTGGAGTCAAAGCAAATCCAGTTCATCCAGTCCTTGCTTTTCTAATGTTGCATATGGGTATGACTATTTATTGGAGCTGGCTAGAAGCACTTTGGGTAGCATATACTTGACCCCCTGGATCAAGTTGAATACTTTATTGATGGGTTGAAAGAAAGAACTTGCAAGGAAGTGAATTATTGAAGACCTCAAACTATTGAAGAAGCCATTAAGATTGCCATTGACTATGACTCAGCTATGTTTGGAGTTGGAAAGCCTACAGTGACTAATCAGAAAAGCTACAATCATTATGAAAGAAGACTGTCAGAAGCAGTACCAATGGAAATAGAAGCTATGCAGAAGAATACTACCTCAGAAGAATGTAAGAAGAAAGGACTTTGCTTCAATTGCCACCAGCAAGGACATATTGTAAAGTACTGCCCTCAGAGTAGAAATGGACACCAGCCATCAAGAACCTTTAACTGTATTGAGGCCATGGAGCATAGTAACATGGAGGATGAACTTGAAGAAGACTCAGAACTCACTTTCCACATGACAGAAGAATACCTATCCCAGATGACCTCAAACTCAGGAAAGCTATTATACTTGAATGGAGTAATCAATGGAGTACCTGCCAAGATCATGATTGACTCAGGAGCATCTCATGAGTACATGTCAGAGCAATTTGCTTTGAAAGCTGGAATCAACTTGGAACCTACCAAATCTACTTCAGTCTCAACAGCTGATGGGAACTCACACATAATCAACCGTATTACCCAGCCAGTAAGAATGAAGATCAATGACTATAAAGAAGACCTACAGGCTTATATATTTGGAAACTGCAAGTTTGACCTTGTACGTGGAAAAACCTGGCTATTTTGTTGTAATCCATCAATCAACTGGAGAACCCATGCTACCCAGATCCAAAAAGACAACAAGACCTATGAGCTATTACCTGCCAGGCTGGATTTCAACTTGGTCAATTCCAGTATGTGTGGGACAAGTGAACTTAGCAAGACCCAGTTCTGTAGAGCACTTAGAAAAGGTACCCAGATGTTCCTCATGGCGGTATTACAGGAGAATTCCTCTACCCCTGCACCTCAGCAGGTCCAGACTCTCTTGAAGATATATTCAGACGTGTTTCCAGATGAGCTTGTAAGCCTACCACCAGTCAGAGACATAGATCATGCCATTGACACAGGAGATAGCCCTCCAGTGAGCAAGACACCTTACAGAATGAGTCCATTAGAATTGGAGGAAATGATGAGACAAATTGATCAGCTATTGGAGCAAGGATACATCAGACCCAGCAAGTCACCTTGGGGAGCACCAGTGCTTTTTGTGAAAAAGAAGGATGGAACACTTAGGATGTGCATTGACTACAGAGCCCTGAACTCAGTTACTCTCAAGAATAAGTACCCCATACCTTGGATTGATGAGCTTTTGGACCAACTTAATAAAGCCACCATATTCAGCAAGATTGACCTCATGTCAGGATACTACAAGATTAGGGTGAAACCAGAAGATATCTCTAAGACAGCATTCAGGACCAGATATGGACATTACAAGTACTTAGTCATGAGTTTTGGCCTTACCAATGCCCCTGCAACTTTCATGACCCTGATGCACACTGTCTTCCAGGAGTACTTAGACAAGTATGTGATAATCTACCTGGATGTCATATTGCTATACAGCAAGACAGAAGAGGATCATGTAGTGCCCATTGAAAAGGTCTTGAGGAAACTAAGAGAGAACAAGCTATATGCCAAGCTAGCCAAGTGTGAATTCTTCAAGGAACACGTTGAATATTTGGGACACATAGTGACTAGCACAGGAGTAACCTTAGACCCCAAAAAGGTGGAAGTAATCAAGAATCTGAACAGCCCCATAGCATATCAGAGCTCAGATCATTCCTTGAAATGGTTTCCTATTATCAGAGATTTGTCAAGTTGTTTGCAAGTATTGCAGCCCCTTTAACTGATATCCTCAAGAAAGACAATACCTACAAGTGGGACATAGCTTGAGAAACTGCCTTCCAAACGCTCAAGAATGAACTTGCTAAGCTGTCAAGCTTAAGAATACCAGACTTCAGAAAAGAGTTCACTCCATGCACAGATGCTTTGGATTATGCAACTAGTGGAGTGCTGAGCTATGAAAACAAGGGAAAGGACTACCCTGTGGCCTTTGAATCCAAGAAACTGAACTCAGCAGAACAAAACTATCCAGTCCATGAGAAGGAGATGCTTGCTATAATACACTGTTTGAAGACATGGAGAAGCTATATTGAAGGAATCAAATGCACTGTGAAGACTGATCATGCCTCCCTCAAGTATATATTTACTCAGAAGGTACTCTCTAGAAGAATGACAAGATGGAGTGAATACATTCAGCAATTTGACCTGGAGATTGTCTACTGCCCTGGAAAAAACAACACGGTTGCCAATGCCTTATCAAGATTAGATCAAGTTGCACAACTCAACTTGGTGCATGAATCAGATTGGCCTAGCCTATTACCAAAGTACTTCAAAGACAAAGCCATTCCTAATGAGGTGGATTAAGAGATAAAGAAGATAATCCGTGATGAAGCCAGCAAGTTTGTAGTACACAATGAAACACTCTATTGAATTGTTGATGGAAGCCTGATTTCCTATTGCCCTTATGTTTCTTGCCTAGATTTAATACATAAGCTACACAATGGATATGGATATCTTGGAATTGAAGGAACCTATAGTCTTGTGAAAGCCAGAGCGTGGTGGCCCAGAATGAAACAAGACTTTGAGAAGCTAGTGAAAACATGCGCAAATTGTCAAATCAACCAAAGCCAATCACAGAGAATTGCCGAACTCTTTCCCTTGGAGCCTGTAAGACCATTTGAAAGATGGGGAATTGACTTTATTGGAAGACTGCTAACTACCAGGAAATGCAACTGTTGGATCCTAGTAGCAATTGACCATGCCACTAAATGGCCAGTTGCTAAAGCTGTACCAATAGCCAGTGAACAAGAAGTTGCAAGTTTCATTTACCATGAGATCCTGATGAAGTTTGGATGCCCTGTGGAGATCTTATCTCATAGAGGAGCAAACTTTATGGCAAAGACATTAGAGGCTTACCTGAAAATGCAGCAGATCAAACACTTGAAAACCTTGGCATATCACCCCAGAACTAATGGAGTCACTGAGCGGTTTAATGGATTATTTGGAAAAATGCTGACCAAGTATGCAAATGGAGTTGTCAGTAGATGGGATGAGTATATAGACCAAGCACTCTTTGCATGCAGAGTCAGAGTACACAACACCACCCAGCAATCACCATTTTACTTAGTGTATGGATGTGAACTAAGGATTCCAGGTGATCTCACGCAACCAAAGCTTACAGACACCTTAGAAGATGAACTCAGTCAGCCAAGTAGACACCAGCAACTGGAACAAAGATGTCAAGAGGCACAGACCAAAGTATCTTAAAGTGCAGAAAAGATGAAGCAGAGATTTGATAAGACTATAGCACCAGAAGCATTAACAGTTGGGAACTTTGTATTGTTAAGAAACAACACTTGGAAGAAGTTTGAGCCACAATGGACAGGACCATTCAAGATCATCAGAGAATATCCATTTGCAACTTACCAACTGGTGGACAAACAAGGAAATATCTGGGAAGACTTAGTGCATAGGGACAGACTCAAGCTTGCAAGACTTGCTGATAATACTGAACCATCAGGATATTGGTATCACAAGAAAAGAGAATCAGGAGAACCCTCTCGACTTTAGTAGGGGAGAATCTTGTGATCAGCTGCTTGAATGTTTAAGTTAGATCAGTTTTTAGTCAAATCAATTAGTATATGCTTAGGTTATCAGTATATCAGTATTACTTATTAAATCAGTAGCATTAGTCAGCAAATAAATCAGCAGATCCTTATCAGACAGAAATAGATATATTAAGTAGGATCTTAGTGGGTAATGATTATGCAATCAAATGAGTCATCAACCACAACCTACATTAGGAAATACAAACAATTAGTCAGCAATTGATCTGGCAAAATGTAAATAAGGAGCTGCTGGAACCTGAATAGAAATCAGTTCAAGTTTTAGTGAATACAGTACTAGCTA